TATATGTTGTACGTATATATGAGATGTGTCTAATCCTACCATCTCCACAGGGCTTCATCTGGGCTTCTCACCACGCAGAGGCGCTCCACCATTCGTTGGTTGTCGCGCTTCAGCGTGTCCACGGCCACCTCTTTTCGCTTGGCCCTGGAAATGCGCATGGCTTCGGCGCCTTGGTGATCATGGATGCCACGGATGCCGTGCCGAAATTCGGGCCTTGGATTTTTCTGGAGAATCCTGAACTATAAATGGATATTGATATATCAATGGATTATAAACTATAAAGATCTATCAAGGTTATAATCATGATTTCAATAATTCCATGATAACTTATTATAAATATGAATGGAATCCTGAATCCCATTAAAAACAAATATGAAATGGATATGGATATCATTAGAATATTAGAATCATTTGAAAATCATTTGAATAGGTTTTACGAAAAAACTGCATTTGAAATCTCATAAGTGGAGATAAATGCATTGATTTGAGGCTACCTTTCAAGGAAACCAGAGCTTTCAGACCACTTACAGGGGGTCCTCTTTCAGATTTTCCGGATGCCCAACCATGAAATGCATCAACCTCCCAAGGTAAAGGCTTGAAGGAATGTCAAAGCTTTGGAAGCCTGTATTTAAAGTATTTTAAATTATTTAAGAGGTAAATAGGACACATCAGGATCTCATCTGATCAGGATCTGATCAGGATCTGATCGCAAAAAAAATGGCAGAGCATCTCCCAAGCTGCCGACGCGCGTGCATGACTTCCGCCTGCCGCTCTGTCTCCAAGACCTGAGATCCCGAGCTCAACACATCTGTCCAAAGCGCTCGATAGAAAAAAGATGAACAAAGCCCCTCTTTGAATATGGTTCTCAAGAGCCCCCACATGGTCCACATGGTCAAATTTGGTCAAATTGGGTAAATGCGGTATGCTTTACCATTGAGTTTACCACGAGGTGCGCAAGGCATTTTCCACACGACCAAGACGACCAAGGCCCCAGCGTCATAGTAGGACTCCGCATTTTCCACTCGCTGCCTCTTCTGAAAAAAAAACTCGAATTCCGTTGGTTACCCAAAAAAGATTTTGCTTGGATGATCTTGGATGAAGGGTCTTCTCCATTCCGTTGGTTTACGGCATATTCATCTGGGATCATCTGGGTATGGCCGGGATGTGATCAATGATAGCACCAACTCAAATCTTCATCCCAGTGGCCATCGCCTGTGGGCATAAATCACTCGGTGTAAATGCTGGAATCGCAGACGGTCCAAAGCTACCAGCTCCTCGGGTGTGAGATGAAACAGGAATGGAGTGAATGGAAGGCCCCTAGGGGGATTCCCAAAATGCATCAAAAAGTGAACCTCATCAGAAAGGTACCACAACCACCTAACAGGGCTTTAAAAAAAAGTCACTGGCTGTTCTCATGCAGAAGTCAAAAAAAAACTGGCTTTAGACACTGGAGACCTTTCTTTTTGTCACCGACTTCCTGCCTCAGCCTGGTCCCAGGCCGGTGGGCGGTTGGGCTCCTGATGGAAACTCGAAGCACCAGGCATCAAACGGGGCTGGTGACTGGTATAAAAAAATCATCATAAATCAATATAAATCAAAGATCATATGCCTTTTTGGTTGTGAAAAATGGAAATGACCCCTCTCCGGAACCAACCAGCGTGAAAATGACATCCAAGGTTCTATCAAGAGGTTGACGATTGAAGCCTTGGAGTATCCAATACGTTGGACTTTATGCACTTGAAAACAATTGCCTAAGCACATGCGTGTCCCAAACACCAAGCCGCACCTTGGCCGAAGAACTTGCCCCAACCATTTCGGTGTAGCAAATCCCCCCTTGCTGAGAGCCATAGGGTGAAGTAGATGGACCAAAGGCTTCAAAGATGGGCACAAATTCAACTGAATCAAAAAAACTGGAAGCTGAATGTCGAAATGAAGCCCAGCTTGACTTCAGCTTGACCAAGAAATGGGGTTGCTCGAAACCTGCCCATAGAATAAGGAACTCTGGCTTCTTGAACATTCCCCAGCACATCAGCCAGCTCGCGTTGACGAGAGCCATCCTTTTAGCCATCAAAGCAGGCCATGCAGTCCACTTGCGGCTGTGCCCTTTCTTTGAAAGGGTACACGTAGTTGGAGTGAAATCTCAAATAGCCCAAATGCAAAAAGTTGCATCACTAGAAAACAAGTGTAGTTTCAAAGATTGTAAGCCAGTGTCCAAAAGTGGAGACCAAAGCCACCGCCTATCCTCTACCAGTGATGCATTCACACCTCTGTACACTTTGAATTGTTGGCCTCTTTTTGTCATGAGCCTGAGGACCTGAGTGCGGATGCAAGCAGTCAACTTTCTGGTAACCTCTCCGTCAGGCAAGCCTTATGTTGTACATGGTTCATGAAAATTATAAGACTGCCTCAAACTCTACTAGTTTCCGGATGTGTTCATCAGATTTCTATTTACAGAGGCTGGACAGCCTAGCTCTTGAAATGCGCGGAATACTTTTAAAAAATGGCAGCCCCAGGCTGGGTATGGCAATCTGGGAACCAAGCAAAACTTCCTCAGCTGCTCTCGTCCTGTGCTCGACGCTCAGGCCTGCAGGCTGACACTAGTGGCGCGTGAAAATGTAGATCCAGGCGGGAACTCTGATGGCAGCAGTCCAGAGGAGTCCAGAGCAAAACAACATAAAACAACTGCATTTCTCAGTTGTGGGACTTGCCACGATCATTGAACAACTCTGCGAGCTTGGGAACCAATCCCTTTCGCCAAACTTTTTTTTACCTGGCACTCGCGCGGCGAGTCTCTGTGCCTCTCCTTCCGGTTTTGACACAATGGTCATGGAGTCATGGTCATTTTCTGTGAAGCAAATAGCAACAGCAAGATGTCTGGTTTCTGCTGCATAATCAGCTAGTTTGTTTCAACTTTAAACCTCTAGATCAGTACCGCAAGGAAGATCCAGTTGGAACCTGTGAAAATCGGCCCGCCCCACCAAGGGCTTTCAGCTCACGAATCATACTCGAGCATATTTTCAGTGGGACATTCAAACCATGCTCCCCTGTGTCGAATGGAATGATCATATTGAACCCATTAGACTTGCCGGTCCCATGTCTGCCATGATTGCCAGTGTGAGGACTGGAAGCCTCATGATGGGGCAAGGCCAGAAAAGCATCTACCTATCCGACTATCCACGACTATCCAGGACTATCCAGGACTATCCAGGACTATCCATGTATCCGACTTGCCTCAGGGGCAAACAGGCTTCAGTCGCTCTGAATACCTTTTCACCAGCTTGGCGTCTTTCTTCACAGCATCAAACGTTTTTGTCAAAGTCTTCTGGCACGTCCACCTGGAATTTTCCAGAGGTGGTCCTCGGACGTGCCGTCAGGGTTGTCTTGAAAGAGTTTTGGCTAAGTGGTATGTCCCAACACCCACAAAGCCATGTCTTGCAGCACCAATCGCAAGAATCGTCCTACTTGGATCTATTTGGGGTGATCAAACTTGGTGCCAGACCTCTTGCAAGATTGTGTTTCTACGGGCTTTTCTGTGAACATCTGCACGCCCGCATGACTATCAATGACTTGAGACCAGCTGTCAGTGTTTCTGGGGAGCCCTGCGACATGGCGGCAAACATTCCGGGCCTCAGTGTGCAACATATTGAGCCATGAGCTACCGCTATCAGTACCAGCTAGGACCAAGCATGTAGATTACTGATGATCACTGTAGATCACTATCAACCTTGGGAGAAGGTTGAAACCCAGGAGGTGGCAGTTTTTTTTCCGCGCAACTTGATTGACCTGTTGCCGCTTGGAGGTCAGACTAGATCAGGGCCTGGTGCCTTTGGGCACAGACCCTTTCAGCGATCGCCCACATCAGACCCCAAGAAATGGGATGTGGTATGATGCTATGAATTCACATTGGTTCGCCGTGCGAAATTAAAAGTGGGGCAGGTCTGCCCTTCACCTGTTCAGGTGGAAAAGTTTTCACAAAGTGCTCTTATCCGTCAGAGGTTGCGGCCCAGGTTGCGGCCCTCAGCCGAAAGCCGCGCGGACTTTCTCGATGAGGTCTTCCAACTCAGCTTCTTTGCCCATGCCGTGAGACAAGCAAGTTGCCAGGAAATCCACCACGATACTACCATCCAGACCACACCTGGCATGTGTTTTGACCCTTGGATGGCTGCCAAATGTGTCCAATATTCCCTCCCCATAGTGTTAGATGATTTAGATATATTTAGATATACAATCAGTATCAATCAGTTGTCTTCGTTGTCTTCAGGGTTCTGATGTGAGGTACCTTTGCTTGTGTTCTGGTTTGAATTGTGGTGCTTCATCCCAAGTACCTTTGCAGCTCTGACAAAGCACCTGACGATATCTGTGTTTCTCCCCATTCTGACTTTCGAGGATCTGGAGTTGTTTGCAGCACTTTGGTTTCTGAGCTCTCCTCTACATCACTCAGATTGAAACATTTGACAATTTGACAATGTGACAAAGTGTCCCACCTTCGAATGAATACTTTAAAAGCAGCAGACACAAATCCAGAGACTAAAAACCTAGCACCTGGCCTGTGTTGTTTTGCGTGGTTCCTTGTAAGGTATGTGAAATCTGTTTAAATGATCAGCTAGCAAAGGGACAAAATCGAAAGCTTGTGATTGTTTGCAGTAAACTCATACTACACATGTTTGAAAGCCAGAAGTTTGGGATGGATATATAGTTTGAAGTCTTGCAATGCGGCAAGCATTTCTCAGATGCAGATTCGGCGCTTTGCGCCCTCGCACCACTTTAAGTAGGGAGCTTTCCCAGGATCTCATGTGAATCCTGGCTCTCCCTCTACAGCTCTGGCTGGTTGGTCTAGCCTTAGCATCGCGAATTTGGCAAGATTCTGGCACAAATCTATCCTGGCTTGTTGCTATATTTCACGATGAACTTTCTCATAGCCGACTCAACCAATCGACTGCCAAAAACAACCGCGTCAGCTGAAATTTCAGCTCACGTGATTGAAAAACTTGGTCTAGAATCTAGAACTCCTTGCGCCCACACTTTGTGCACTTGGAGAACTTGAACATACACTTGCCACCATCCTTGCTGCAGCCAGCTGCACCCCCAGGATTTGCCAAAGCCCCGGCACCTTTCACAAACTTGCCTTCCGCCTGCTGACAGTAGTTGCACTTGCCGTACTTCCAATGGTGGATGCCATTGGGGGACTTCGGACAACTGCCACTGGCAGATTCCATGGCACTGCTGGGCGCCAATTTATAGGTGCTTGTCTCTCCTGGGGCCCGGCTTGCAGACAAGTCCTTCGGGATCTCCCCTGGTAGGTCCACTTGGCCATGAATGCTCGCTCGGGTCCTTAGCAACTTTGAGGAACTTTGACCATGCAGTATCGACAATAGGCTATTGCCAGATTGTTTGTAGCAACCCCAAGTAGATACAAAAGTCGGAAACCTGAAAATGAGGTGAAAACATCACTTGAGAAACATCCTGGAAAAACTGTTCTATCTTTTGGAGGACCCTTATACATCCTTATACAGCAAAACAAAAAGACTCATGAAGCTTTCAACGCCCAGAGTCTTTACAACGGCGTCGCACTTCAAACAGTGTGCTCTATCGTTCAACCACTGAGGAACAGATTTGTAACCACAAAGGTGGCAGGTCACACGTGTGCGATCATCACCGGATCCCTTGGAGCCTTTCCGCACCTCCCTGGGGGAGGTCTTTGGCTCATCATTCATGGTCTTTGAGATGTCGTCCGACATGGTCTCTCCCACCAACAGCCCAGCAGCTGCTGCCAGGGGTGGAGAGGAAGGTCGAACTACTGGTGACTTGGAGGCCGCCATCTGCGGGTGGGTCACAGAGGAAGCAGTGGAAGCATCTGAAGGTCTTCGACTCTCTTCCTTCTCCACTTTCATGCCAGACTCGCCGCGGCCGCACTTGGTACACTTTGCAAACTTGAACATACATTTCCCGCCCATCTCACAATCAGCTGCTCCTCCAGGATTCGGCAACACCCCAGGACCTTTGGCCAACTTCCCTTCTGCCTGCTGGCAGAAGTTGCACTTGCCATACTTCCAGTGGTGTACTCCATCTGGTGCCTTGGAACAACTTCCACTGGCGGATTCCATGGCACTGCTGGGCGCCAATTTGAAGGTACTCACCTCGCCTGAGAGCCGGCGGCCTTCGCCGTTGGCCTCCGCACCGAAGATCTCGCGCTTGGCTTCGTGGATGGAGCCGCGTGTACGCAAAACCGCTTGGCACTTCAGGCAGTGGGCCCTGGGAGCAAACTTCGGCAAAGTTTGGCAAGTTTCATGATGCAATCCACAACAGCTTCAACGACTTCCTTCTATAGTTCAAACATCAATGCCACTTGATTCAGGGTTGGAAATTATCCACATTTTGGAGGAACCTGCCTGTCATTCAACCACTGTGGCACACACTTGTAACCGCATTTGTCACACTCCATTCTGATACGCTCCTCTACAGCAGCCGCCATGGAAACTGCCTGTTAGAATTGTTCAAGGTCAGCGGGGATCACTTAGAGTGGAATCAGGGCCAAATGGCTGCAGAGATTGCAGACATCAGATGTGGCTGACAATGTCCTCCCACATTCTGCAACTTGCGTATCGTACCGCAAGCCCATCCAAAACAAATATCAGTTCTCGCCACTTGGCCAGGCCTCACCATGAATTCAAGGTGTTCGGAAATGAAGTGATTCCAAACCGCCAGGATCTTGCACCAATTCTCCTGAACCAAATCGTGGAAATTTCAAACGGATGTCGGAAGTGGATGAACCTCGATTCACAGGATTCACAGGATCAACTCTACGGAAACGATTCATGTCCGTCTCCTCCATGCGTCTGGCCGGCGCCGACATTCCTTTGGCATGATGCTGAAGAAAGGCTTGGACCTCTCCACAAAGTCGGTTCATAATCCTGACATCTGAAAAGGCTGAGAGATGCTGATCTTGGGACATCACCAAAGCTGAAACAACAACCATCTTCTGAGGTGATTCTTGAATATTCTTGACATATGTTTCCATCTGTCGGAATAGCGTATCTTCACATCACCAGCTTGGTTTCCCATTATTTCCCATTCCCACTGCACCGGTGGGTTTGGAATATGATTCTCCCACTGGAGATGGCCATAACTTTGGGACCCCCAAATTCGCTCCTGGTGGCTGCAGTGCCCTGCAGCTGGCAGTTGCACATGCTACTTTTCTTGGCCATTTTCACAAAGGGCGCCACGATCTCCAGGTGCATCTTCAGATCCATCGCCAATTCCTGACCGCTCCACTGCTCTAGCTCCAGACTCAAATTTTCCTAGGGTTATTGGGTTATTCGTTGGTCATGAGTCATACAGACTATACAGTAACCCCAAACAAAGTCACTGACCATTGCTTTGGTAGGATTTTGCTTGTCTGCCTACGGCTACGATGAGTTACGTCTGGGTTTTGGGGGTGGTTATCTCCATGTTTGCTGGCTTGAAAGCCATGTTTGTTGGTCTCATCCCTTTGGCTGTTGGCCAACAGCTGTTGCTGCGTTCTCACGAGGCCACCTGGGACTCGAATCTACACAAGGACTCCACGTCCTGCATTTTGAACTTGAACTCAACTCTCATGACTGGTCTCGATCCTTCAGGTTTGACCAAGCTCTGGGAAGATAGGATTTGTTTAACTTCAGTGCTTGCAGTATCTTGCAGTACTCTATGCCTAGCCAACCCAAGGTGTCAGCCAAGCATCCAGCTCGTCAGGTGCAGAGCAGGAAGGGTAGAAATCGTCGTCTTCGTCGGAGTCAGGTACCATGACTGGTTCAATTGGAAAGCTCCGGTGTCGTAAGCGTTTCGAGCCTGTGCTGGGGGTGGCTTACACTTTGCATTCTTCAGGTCATCAATGACTTCACTTAAGTGGATATGTAACTTTAACATACTTTAACAGTGAGTTCCGGCACCTTCGGAATTTGGACACATCAACACATCAATCACCACCCATCTAACCCCTATTCATGCCTTAAGCATACAGTAACAACATGTAACTTAAATGCCACACCTGCAATGAGGCTCTTCTTGTGCACCCGGCCATCCAAGACGTACACCGCCAAGCTTCGCCGGCCATTGGTCAGAGCCCAGCCAGGTACGAAACTCTGCAGACGTTTGGAAAAGACATCCACGGCAGACCATCCGGTGCCGCCACAAGCTTCGTAGGCACCGTTGCAGCGCCGTTGCTGAAGCGCCATGTGGGCCCACCCGGTTACCCACAAGTTGGCCCAGTGTGGCTGTTGCCAAAAGGCTGCGAAACAGTCTTGGGGGATTTGAAGATCACATGCTGGTGACAGCTACGATGAATTCAAGTGTTTACAACCAATGTTGCTGCCACCTTGTATCGCAACAATCACACTGATTTCCAAAAAATATCCTGATTTCCTGTATGTTGTTGTAAAACAGGACAAGCACGGTGACCATGCCATAAGAACAATCATGGGACAATCTATGATGATTGCCGTGGTCGCTTGGCAGCCGGACACAAGGAGGAGACCAATGGTCACAACCACTGAAAGCCCAAGAAATATCCCAGAGTTCTGGCCAGGGCCGCGTCTCTTCAAGTTGATGAAAGCATCATATGTGCCAAAAAAAAAGAGACACATGGAGACACCAATACACCTATTGCTGTAGCTACAGCCAACATGCCAGCCGCACATCATTGAGGGTCTCCTCCAGGCTTTGTTGAGCCAATGCAGGAGCTGCTCCACCCAACCTCAAATCCCCAGCTTGGCTCGGCTGGTGGTTCATCATCCCTGGAAGAGTATCCAAGGCTGAGACAGGGTGGCACTCACCACCTCAGGTCTTCAAAATGCTGGAGAACCTGCATTTTTAGAACTCATGAAAAATCGGCAAAAAATACCTATCCATTTATATGCATCAGCGTTCATGCTCATGCACATTCTGGGACTCTGGCAGTTGCACGCTGAACAGTTGGGGACAAGAAGTTGAGGAGTCCTAGCGAAACACGAGAGTAGATGTTTACCCTTATGTTCATCTCAGCCAGCCAGGGACTGGAAATCATGTCTTTTTTATTTGTTCATTGTTTTTCATTTTGATCATCACTTTGCTGGATTGAAAATGATCACTCCCTTTTTATCCCCGTTAAGTTTTTTCATTGTTTTTTCATTCCTGTTTTTCCTCCCTTTTCTTTGCTTCGAAAATGATCCTTGGTCCTTGGGAATTGCCACCAGGATCTTTTTCTCGAACCCTTTTCGTTTCTTTTCATTTTGTTTCGTTTCTGTATTGTTTTTGTTATTTTTCCTTCCTTTGCCTTGAAAATTGTCCTTGGAAGTTATCAAAAGATATCAAAAGGAGCTTTTTCTCGAACCCTTTTCGTTTCCTTTCGTTGTGTTTTTTTCCGTTTGGCTATGTTTCCTCCTTTGCATTCAAAATTGACCTTGGAAATTGTCAAAAGGCGCTTTTTCTCAAACCCTTTTCGTTTTGTTTTCGTGTTTTTTTTCTTTTTGTTTCGTTTTTTCCCGTTTTTTTCGTTTCCTTTTTCATGTTCGTTTGTTTTTTTTCCGTGTCCTTTTTTCATTTCATTTTTCATTGTGATTTTTGTGCGTGTTTGTTTTCATTTTCGTTTTTGTTTTCATTTTTTGTGTGGGTTAAGTATATGGTTGCTTTCCTTTTTTTCATTTTGCTGTCGTTTCTTTCTTAGTGTTCATTTAATTTCTCATTTGGTGGTATATATATATATATATTTATATATACATTATCTTTTCCGTTTCTGATTTTGCTTCGATTCATTTTCGATGCTGAATGACAAGTACATGGTGGCAAAATGCAAAAAAGGAACAAGTATGAACATGATAATTAAATGATACTAACTGCACATGAGGGAAACACGATAAACAAATGAGAATGACACTTGCACATGATTGGAGAATGAAAATGAAAATGACAATTTCACATGATCGGAGAATGATGTGAAACAGGAAAAAAGAAACATGAAAAACAAAACGGAAAAAAATGAAGAAAAAAAAACCTTGGTCCGGACTCAGTCTGTGGCTGTAAGATTCTCATAAGTTTACCCCAAGTTGTGCAACTAAGGAGCTGACTTGGGCTGACCAAAACTGAAAGTTGGCAAACTTGCGAACACGAATCGACGAACGAATCTCCTGAAGAGCTCAGACTCAAATATGCACCGAGGGACAGGCCTGACATGGCGCAAATCATCCCACAGCTTGTACAACATCCAGCAGCTCTAGGTGGCTCAACATTGAAATCACCCGTCCAGATTGCTATCTCTCTGACCCTTGAACACAAGTCAGAGACCCCAAACAGGAGATTGATCACTCCTACGGATTGATCACCAATCATCAATCGAGAAGTTGTTGAAACCTTTACTGAACTCTATCATGATCGTCAATCACTCTATATCATGAATTGATCATCTTGTTGATCACCAATCATCAATAATGAATCGAGAACTGCTTGTTGGATCGTTTCCTCTGAGACCCCGGACACAAGGCCCTCAGGAGCCAAGAGCTGCGCATGGCGTCGACGTCGAGTCGACAATCGCAGCGAAGCTGGAGACCAAATGGTGCAACGCCCCAACTCTGGTGGCTTCAAGCTTAGAGCCACCGCGCGGTGCCAAGTGGCTGGATTGGCTGCATCTTTTCAACCCGTTTGAGTTCATAAAAACATGCATGGAGAATGGTAGAAATATGTAGAAATGACAAAAACTGCAATGCAGTTGACAGTTTCAGATAGTCCAAAGATTCCCAACATGCTGGGTTGAAAACCTTGAGAACTGCCTGGAGTGCTGCGGCAAGCTGCGCCTGGAACTTGAATGTCTGCTCTCATGAAGGCTTGGACGACTTAACCTTGGCTTTGGGACTCGGGCAAGCTGTAGAATTAGAAAACTTAGCAGTTGAAAAGGTAAGAGCCCTGCCCAGCTACAAAATATATATATACCAGCTAAGCCTAGATCTGGGGAAATTTTACGATTTCCCAAAAATTGTACGATTTTGGAGGAGTTGTAGGAATTCTTGCGATTGTGAAAAGAGTTGCGAGAATGTGTGGGGCCTGTGTGTGCCGCAATGTTTTAGCTGGATTATCTGTGGGGCATGTGTACCGCAATGCTTTAGCTGGATTGCATTTCGTTGGCATCAGCTGGACCCGTCCAATGATGCTTGGGTGGTGCTGGCATGTTTACACCAAAACGGCTTTCAAAGTGTTGATTAGTAAAATCTAGTGGCAGGCAATAAGATCTAGAGTTTTAGCATTAACGTGTAAATTTTGAAGAATCAAATCTATTAAATTGATCTAAAATAATGTTGAGAGTGAAGCTTACAACATGCTTCTTCAAATTAAATGAAATTAAAGTTCTTAAATATTCTTAAATCATAATAGCCTAAATTAAGCACAAATGTGTAAAATTTGAAGAATCAAGTCTATTAAATTAATCTAAAATAATGTTGAGAGTGAAGCTTACAACATGCTTCTTCAAATTAAATGAAATTAAAATTCTTAAATCATAATAGCCTAAACACGAAAGGTCTTTTTAATTTCAATTCTAATAGATCTAGCATAAATTTTGAACAATAATCACAATAGGTTAAGCACGAAAGGTTTTTCATTGCAATAGATGCAACATAAATTCTGAACAAGAATCACAATAGGTTAAACACGAAAGGTTTTTTTCATTTCAGTAGATGCAGCATAAATTCTGAACAAGCTGCTTAGTTCCTACAGTAGCTTAGAGCAATATGTTGATGCAAGAATCGGCCAAAAGGATAACTTAGGTTAACTCAGGATAACTCAATAAAGTAAACCTTGGGTCATTTGAACCTGAAGGATTTCACATCTTAGGTGAGCTGTGGCTCAAAAATACCGATGAGGCCAACTGCAAATTGGATAAGCAGGCATGTCTTGGATAATTTTTTTGACCTAAGCTGGCTGGAGTCACTTTGAAACACTAAGCCGATTCATTGCATGATGCTGCATTTTTTGGTAGATCAAATTTGAAGAACTGGTCGGTAGCAGCCATGAGTTCTACTGATAGCTCTGCGATTGCTGAGTTTCCTGGTCTTGGGCGACAATGGGATCAGCTGAGCATTGTCCGGGATCGGCTAAAAGATCTCCAGTGTGTTATGGTAAACAAACCATTGCCAGGAGAGAAGGAAGAAGCCACCAAAGGAGCGATTTCGAAAACGCATGGCAATCTCAGGCACAATTCGGAGATCATGGTGCCTTTGTTGACAATGATGAAGGACCACAGGGATAAATATCCCTGCAAGGATGCGCTGGCTGCAGAGTTGAAGTTGGTTTTTGAGAGGAGCAGGCTCCAGCCGGACTGGGTCACCTTGAATGAAGAGGCATGGAGTGTTCGATATATGTATGGTTTGGTTAAACAGCTCACCTACAAGAAAACACCTCCGAGAGAAACTCAGTTGTGTTTAATTTACTACCGGTTTGCTTTACTGTTTGGTTTTCTTTATGTTTCACAACATGGAATGTGTTGGGGAACAGAATGAGGACCCAGTCTTTCAGCACTTGCTGTCGGTGTGGGGCGTGGATTTGAAGAATTGGAAGCAAGTCAAACCCAAGAAGGTTGATGCTTCTGGCGAGCCATCTGCTTCAGAAGCTTCTTCGAGCCCACCTTGCTCAACTTGTGCCACGACTCCTCAGAGTCCTGCTGCTCAGAGTCCTGCTGCTGACCCTCCAGTTTCAGCAACAGGCATCAAGAAAGAGCCGGATGCTTCCAAGGACAAGGTTTGCATGTGGTTGCATGCATTTTAGTGCATGCTGCAGGCGATGCCAAATAGGAAATGTCAAAGCGGGTAAAAAAAAAAGATGAATTAGTTGAGGGGGCTTGCATGTTTTAAGATGTGAAAATTGCAATTCATAGAAAGCAAGTTGGGTGAATAATTGCTTAAGAAATTGTTCAGCGCTAAGATTTAATTTGGAGCCCATCAGTGCCAAACATGGGTCACTAAATGTTAAGGAACTGTAACTTAAGTTGATTTTAGTTAATTTTAAAAATAAGTGAATGTAGTTCGGTGAAATAGGCCTTGAATTTGAGGTTAGGGGCGCTGAAGTTAGGTTAATTGACTTAGCCGTTTCAGACACCTCAGCTGATTAAATTAATTAATTGAGCGATCAGCCACATTTAAGCTGTCTGACTTTAAATTTTAAGAATAATTGGCTGCAGCCATGTAACTTTTAACATCAATCAGCTCAGCAAATAATATAGGTGGCTTAAGCTTACATGAGATTAATTTAATCTATCAGGCAGTGCCCGCACTTAAACTGACATTAGGTGCCACTTAAAATTAATAAGATACTTGATATGGCACTTATAATTAAATAATTTAAATTATCCATGGCGCCGCAGGATCTGCAGCAGAAGCCAGACCCTGATCCTCCGAGGGGAATCCCACAGTCGCAGGCCACCCTCATCGCGCTTGCAGTGCGGCGGCAACACCTGGCCGAGATGTTTCTGGGCAATATCTTAATAGTTCACTGGGCTAAATTTAGGGGCTTTAGCCTTAAATTGGAGCATATGTTATAATTCAATTGGCTTTGGATGCAATGGGGTTAATACTTGTAAGGCTGCAAATTCGCCGGCTAGCAGATGCCAAGCACAAGGATGCGGAGGGACTGGCTGCAGCGCTCGTAGAAAGAGGCCCTGCACAATCACAAGGAGCCTTCTCTTATAATTAATTAACCTGTGCTAATTTTCATTTCAATACTTTGTGAGTTTAATTTAATGACTGTTCAGTTAAATGTGTTAAATTTAAGGTGGACATGTTTCTTATTGCTGAGGAAGCTCTGAAGATTTGCTCCAAACAATGCCGATGCAGTTTGAAGAACTTGGGATGGCTCCTGCAGAATCGCCTGTGGTGACAGGGAAGGATTGGTGATAGGGATTGTCAAAAATGTTCGCTTACATTCGATGCCATCCTTTCATTTTGAACTTGGTGTTGTTTTTTACCCACTACGATTGTTCAATATTTTATGCAAACAACATTGTTTGTTATCTCTTCCTTGAAGGATGGCCTTGTGATGGGCGACGATCCTGCAGCTGACCATCCTGTGGAGGACCATCAGCCGAAGGAGCCAAAGAATCCTACAGCTGACCTTCATGTGGAGGACCATCAGCCGAAGGAGCCAAAGAATCCTACAGCTGACCTACCTCAGGAGGAGGCTCATGCGGCAAAGGGAAATTCTGAGCTGAAGGCTGCGGATGTTGCGGCCAATTTTCAGGCCAAGTGGCTGAAAGACTTGAAAGGTGATTTGACTGAAGAGGCCAAATCTGAGTCCAACCAGGATCTTCGAAGGGCACAGCTGACTGCGAGGGCAAATGAGAAGGAGCGGGTTGAAGAAGTGCGTGGAGAAAGGAAGGAACAGAAAAAAAATGCAAAGAAGGATCCGAAGCCCAAAGGCCGTCCTCGGAGGGTTGAAGGAGATGAGCCTCCGAAGAAGAGAAAAAGCAACAAATCAAAAGGTGGAGAGGACGCTGTGGAGGCCACTGAGACAAGTTCTCCGGCGGCAGCGCCTCCTGCCAAGAAGAAGAAGAAGACTGAGGCTTTGGCTGATGAGGGAGCAGCTCTTCCCAAGGCCAAGGCCAAGCCAAAGGCATGTGCCAAAAGAGCGCCGATGACCAGGGGCGGAAAGCCCCCACCACCTTCGGACAAGGCCATGGAGAAGGAGATCCTTGATCTCTTGAGAAGGTACAAGGACGTTCCCTACAACAAGGACACCGATGTGCTCCACAAGATCTACACGAAGAAGAATTCCAACCCCTATTGCTGCATCTACTGGAACAGGCCTGCCGGCGGTGTGAAGATTCACTGCCCTGATGGAGCTGAGATGCAAAGTTCTACTTTTCCTATGCCTACTCCAGCGTGGCAGTGCACATCTATTGTTGCAACCAGATCATCAAAAAGTTCCAGGGTGCTCCGGAAGGGTGGTGGGACTCGAGTGAAGCCATGGACCTCTTCCAGTTGCTGCTTGTCACGGCGGGGAGTGCCCAGAAGAGTTTCAATGCCATGGACGTGGACTAGTGCGAAACCCTTGGCTTTTGACTTCTGGCTGCCTGTGCCTGATTTTGACATGAAAACATCGATTACAAAATCGATGATTTAGATAGATCGATAGCTCTGTTGGGGAAGTTGGCTCAGATTGCGCATAGGGGTCCACATAGCATAGGCCAGCTTAATCTATAGGCACAAGTTTAAAATTAAAACCCGTAAGCCCGGGCCGTTACAGCCTGTTAGCTCTTGAATTAATCGAATAAAGTGATTCATTCTGATCTTAATTAAAATAAATTCAAGTAGCATTAAAATTAAAGACAAAGGCTGGCATAAAGGGATGGACCCATCGTGTAGTCGAGCCTGCAGAGCCTAATACATTAAAGCCTGCCCCTGGGTTAGAAAAAGCTGGTGTGATCTTTGCTGCTGCTGCTGCCATGTGTTCATCCCTGGCCAGGTGCTTGGCGCTGCAATGCCGATGCACTTTACTGGCGCTGCTGCAGCTGCAATGATCATTGCAACTTCTTGGAGGCCGGTTGATGTTGTCAAGTTGCAGTTGGGACACATGTGGAATAAATCTATAAATTT